ACAAGTGGTAGCAAGCTCGCATCTCCGAAAAATATTATACATTTAACTTTTTTTGTGTTTACTTTTAGGGAAACCGTGATGTACAAATTAACCAACTGCTGTAGAAGGAGTTCCAGTGTGTCCTATAAATACACAAAGGTACATTTTGGCCTTCTAACATTCAGGTGTATTTAATAGGGCAGCATTGAGCCAGAGTTCTGAAAGCTAAACGCTGGTTGCTCTAGGTTTCTGAATTTTGAGTGTTGAAAATGCCCGCCCAAGAAAAGTATTCTAAGTAATATTAAAGCGATATTTTGCTAAAACTAATACCTAAAATAAAGGGCGTCCTGCAAAGAAGATAGATACTCACCTCTCTTGCTGCCTGTTACAGTCAGCTAAAAAGATTATGGTTATAGCATAGTGTTCATTGTGTTATTCTTCTAGCGTGAGGTGCAGCAACCATAAAAAGGCCATCTTATCCCAAAAACAAAAAATATACCGCAGTCTACCTCAAATGTGCTGGCTTCATTATTTTTCTTTAAGTTTTTTTTACCTTTTTTTTTTCTGGTGATCTGGCCACTACCACACTTCCTAACTTGGGGTGGCTCCACTCTATGGAAGAGCAATGGATCCATCTTTGGACAGCAGCATTGTCAACCTGGAGAGAGGGTAGTGTTTGATGCACTAGTAAATTTAGATGGACAAATTACAGCCAAACTCCAGCTTACACTTTTTAAGCTTGTACAGCAATGGCTTTTTGTTTCTTTAGGGATAAAGGTTTTAACTCTATGAACAGAAGCTGACCATTGTAAACACCCCTTTTCAGTTTTAAATAGTTTGTCCCAACCCTCTATCTGCCAATTTTGCTGGACAGCTCGGTCTGTTAAAAGAAGTAAAAAAATAACGCAGGTTAAGTTACAGTATAGCTGTGAAGTGCTGTTCTGTCGTTCCCCCTGCGAATAATAAATTGCTTACTACTATCCCTGTCTGTTTGACATTAATACAGCAGACAGGGACGCTTGGTCTCAAACAGGTCTTGTCTTTGGCATGTAGTTGAATTCCCCGGGCAATCTTTACAAAGCTTTTAAAAAAGAAACAAACAAAAAAAAAGAAGTAAAAAAAATAACAGACTTGTTGGCTGGATCACCAGGTGAAAATAAAGGGAGAAGCCTGAAAAAAAAAAGAAAACTAATGCAGCCACTAGATCTAAGAATTGCTAAGCTGCAATATATTATATTTTTGCTTTTGGGTTTAGATAAACTTTACAGTAAATCTAAAGAAAACACATCGTGTTTTGTTTTTCTCCCTATCTGTGTCCCATTGTGTAGATTTCCCTTTACTTCTCTCGCCCCATAGATACAAATTATTTTAAGAATGCAAAATGATCCTCCCTATTGGAAGACTTTCCCTATTCCTGTTCCAACGATTTCCTACTCTATCCAACGCTATATTATGGCTTTGGATACACTTTAACAATTAAGACAGTAGTTCAGATGCCCAAAACTGAAATGCCTAATGCAGAAAATTGGGTTAATTTTGAATGTTTGCACACTGATGTTACTTTTGGTAAAATCAACTTTATTCCAACTTCATGTCTGTCACACAATCTCACCATCTGTCTGCCCCTCACTGATGCGTTTAACCTTTTTGGGCTTAGTTAAAGAGAAATCAACGATGAAGCCTGTAAGAGTGAAACGCGCTAGAAGGGGCAGACCAGAGGTGGGACTGTACGGCACAGATGGAGCAGGAATAAAGTTGTTTTTTATACACAGTGATGTCATTGGTGTGCGACATGAATGTATAGAAATGTCACCAGCGCACCAATGATTCAATGAAGAACGTGAAAGTCCATTTATTGAAGGAACATTGCCATTCAAAAACTAGCACTTTCGGGGCCACACTGGGTCCCCTTCATCAGGTTTCAGAATTAGCCTAATGAAGGGGACCCTGTGTGGCCACAAAAGTGCCAGTTTTTGAATGGCGATGTTCCTTCAATAAATGGACTTTCACGTTCTTCATTGACTCATTGGTATGCTGGTGACATTTCTATACATTCAGTTTTTCCACGGTGCCATCCGTGGTCGCTTCAAGCACCCACCTGTATGTCAGGTATCTCTATCTGGTAAGGAGTGCAACAAGTTTTTTTTTTTTCTACCTTGGTGTGCGACAGTCTCTCATCTAGGGACTATTGAGTATTGAAGGGAGGGCGTGCTCCATTGGCAGCCACTCGGCGTTCCCCTGGCTGATGATTGGAAGCCATGAAGGAGCAGTGTCGGTTAGGAAGGATTGCACTTTTGGAGGTTTATAAGTGTTTGTTATTTGTCAATATAACTTTTTTTTTTTCATTTGCTACATTATTTAGATCAACACAGAAGAAGAAATGGACAACGAAACTGAGTGGCTTATGGAAGAAGTGTCTGGAGGCCACTCACAGCCTCACCACGAGAACGGCCATGTCAGAAGCGTGAAGGCTGGGGCGTTCACATCATTGCATGTGGATGACCTCGACAGTGAAGATGAGGTCCTGACCGTACCAGAAGTCAGAATACAGTCGGCAAGAAACCAGAAGAAGAGTGAAAAACAGCCAATAGCCACATATCCTTCCGGCAGTGACGAGAACTTGATAGGAGTTTTTAACGGAGGGCAAGAAAAGACTAGAAAGTCGAGATCTGGCCAACAAAATAAAGAGGACAAGCTGAATGTAGCTTCGTTTCATGACGACAGTGACGAGGACATGCTTAACATTTAGTGCCAGCTGCATTTTCAATCTCTGCTCCTAACTGTGCCTAAAATAACATTGTTTAAATGGACAATGCTACTGCAACCAAATACGCATAACTCAACCTGTTTTCTTTTGACCTTTTAATGGGTTGAGCCTAAAATGTAGATATTAGGGAAGACAGGGATCTTTTCTTTCTCTTCAGTTTACAGCGATAATCAGATGATGCGGATTAACCCTTTCTGCACTGAAGACTCTTAGGGAAGCTTTCTGTGCAGCATTTCTGCGTACCCCTGCACTAAATGCGATATGTAATCATTGGGATTCTGTTTTTGTTTGGTTTTTCTAAGTACGGGAGCTGGCATCTTCTTGTTCTATGTAAATTACTCTTTGTAATCAATGAAAGACTGAAGATACAAGTTAAATCTATATGTTGGATCCTCTGCCACTGGATGACATCAACAAAGTTTGACTACTATTTATTCACTTGAACTACAACTCAGGTTGGCTGAACATAGCAGCAAGTTAATCCTGCTGGCAGGGCGGTACTGCAGAACTCAATGAAGGGGACAGATCCCATCTATATTTAGGAAATGCACTCCTATATACTTGTAATACTTGTCTTGAAACCAGAGTTTAATTTAAATGTGTTGATAACATCCTTTTTTGGATTCCATACCGAAGAATGCAGTGAATAATTCTACATTTTTTTTTTTTTTTTCTTCTTTTTAAAATAATAAACATAAAATCGCTGCTTTACTGTGCACAATATCCAATTACAGAATGAAGGTATTGAACTGTGTTTATTAGAAATAACTTAATGTCTTGAAGTGGTATAGTCTGTGTTCAGCTTAAAATCAAAGCCATTGACATTTTTGTAGTTCATTTAATATTTTTGGACATTTTGTTTTCTGCCAAAATTTCTGCCACAGTGTATTCATGTAGTCTGAAATGGAAACCCTATGGAAGCCTGAAATTGCACATTTGAACTTTGATTAGGTGATCTTGAAGGGAACAAGTTTAAAACCGACTAAAAGTCTAAAAAGAAAATCTAACCGTACATGGAGTCAGTGCTCGAGACATCTTCTGGCAATATAAGGTGACTCCAGCCCCTTGCAGTCCCCTCAGTTTCCAAGAGGCGCAATGTCTGATTTCAACTGTGGTCTCATTGTAGGTAGTTCAGGTCTATTCTGATATATCACTGTGCTGTGATATCGGAATGATGGTCATAGTTCACTTATGCAGTGTCAACAGGAATCTCTCAAGGACTGTAGGTTATAAGGTAAGAAGAAAGTGGCCTATTATTAACCCCTCTAACAAGTCCACCCTCAAAGACCAAGCATCCATGTTTTCCATTACGATCTTAATTCTGATTGCAATAATTACTGCAGAGTTTTAGGTGGCACCTTGGGAAATCAGATACATATTCAGCCTAGCCAGCTGACTTTACCACTGATTTTCTTGAATGTTTTGCTCTTGCTGGTACATACAATATTTTTATGTTAAAGCTCTAGAATTCCTATATTGTGAAATAATGTCAGTCAGTGTTCTGTAGGCCATTTTTACCCTGAGATTTCGGCATTGAGTTTGCTCTGAGATAAACAGCACTCCATCTTGGTCATGTTCCAGATATTTCACCAAAAGCTTTCTTTTTAGTTAGTATTATATATTTACTTGTATGCACTCGGTGTGATGAAGATTCAGGTTTTGCTCTTAATAGTAGTGTTCGGGTTGTATCAGAGGGGAAAAAAACAAAAGCATTGGTTTCAGAAATCTTCCTGTACATCCTCTGTTGTTTTGAGTATTTAAAGGAGAACTATGGGGTCAGTGTTTTTCCCCATAGTTCTCCTAAGGATAATGGGAGGACACAAACTAGCGTCCTCCCGTCACCCAAAGCTCAGTATTCTACGACAGCTCGCGGTATACTGAGAAGCCGCAGCCGGGACGGATCCCGACATTACTGTTGAGATCCACCCAGCTGCGTGATTGACAGCTGGCTCTGCTTATCTAGAGGCAGAGCCCGCTTTACCCGCCCCCTCTCCCGTCCGTTCCACCAGTCAGCACTGGAGGATCGGGGAGGGGGGGAATCCCTGCAGGGTGCCGTGAGTGACAGTCACTTCTCTCTGCAGGGACAGGATTGAGAAGTGAGCGAGCGACGGTATGTGTTCGCTCACTTCCCGATCTAATAAGCCGACCTGTGACAGTTTAATTGTCACAGGTCGGATAGAACTATGAGGCTGAGTGATTTTCACTCGCCTCATAGTTCTCCTTTTAAGGTGTGTACATGCTTCAGTATGTTTAAGACAATGCGTGCAGCAAAAACAAACATTATTAAATCATTCAGCAAACTTTAGGCAGCTTTATTGAGGCCTTTTACCTCTTGAGAATTTTGAACGCAAGACATATGGCCTTAAAATCTTCAACAAAGGCTGCCCATCCACCGTCCACCGCAATTACTGCCAAATGACAGCGCCTGTGTAAAATGACTCTTGCAGCTAGTCTGCAGGTATCATTGAGTAAATCAGTGTTTAGTTTCACTGTATTTACTATTTCATTCACATGTAGATCAATGGTGTGACCTGCATGTGAGGTTATTCAAAAAAATTATTTTTTTAATAAAATTAATTCCTAATGTAACTTTAGTTAACCCTAATCAGTCATTAACTCGATGCTCCCCTTAGTTATTTTTCTCCGCAATTTTTTTTTTTTCTTTTTTTCAGTGTTGCATAAGAAGAAAATGCACACAAAAATAAAAATGCCTTTTCTCCATTTGCAAATGACTTTGTCATGCTTTGTGACAGAAACATCATTTTAGAGTCATTTTAAAGGGGAGAAATGATAAAATAAAATCTATACTTTTTATTTACAGTAAAACTACTTGTGCTAACAATGGTCAAAACAGACATTTCTTTTTTTCTCTTTTTGTCAATATATTTCATATGCAATACATTTTTTTTACAATAAAATATTGCCAAAAGAAAGCCCCCCCCCCCCCTCCCCCCCCCCAAAAAATAACAATGTATGTATTACTTTATTTCTTTAAGTAATGACAGTAATCAGAAAATAACTGGGCCCATAATGGAAAGGTTTTCAGAGTTAAATTAGTGGACGCAGCCTTCAGCTCCAGTTTGAGGGTATTAAACACAGATCTATATGTGTTGGCTGTGACTTTATAGAAGCCGCCTATAAGCTTTGACCTTCAAGTAGTGCTAAAGCATCCCAAAGTTCTTTGCTTGCTGTGTGCATTGTTCGTACACAATTGTATACAACAGTAGAGGTTAGATTTAAATAAACCTCATATAGAAAGGGAAAGAAAAATCTATCCTTGAAACCAAAATAAAAAAACAAAAACCTCATGACTGTGGAGAAAAATTGTTATAGAATATGTCATTAGGGAAAGCAGGGGGATACTGACTAGCTGAATGCATCAAATAATTCCTTTTCTGCGGTGTGCAGTTTATTTGTAAATAACAAATCAAGGTGCACCCCCAAGTCCAATGATACTTTTTGTCTGGTTTGGGCTAAGTATAGATTGTCCTTTATACTGAATTTTGTTTCTTAGTTAATAACCAATGCTTCATCGTCAATGGAAAATGCTTGTTATTCCTTTTGAGACTGTATCATCTTGAGGACTTCCATAGATATGATGTCATAATCATCAATTCAATAATACATGTTCCCCTTTGCAAGAAAATAGAAAAAACTCACTGCCCTGAAAAAGCTTTCATCTCTCTCTCTCTAAATGGGAATCGTGTATAGCCTATTGCAAAATATATTTGAAAGGTCAGTCCACCAAAGGTGGTATATCAACTGCAAGTCGAGTCTGGTGTGAGGAATAACTTGCAAGCTTATTTCTGGGAACTCCAGCTGTGAGATCTGACTCTGTGATCTGCCCCCTGATAGTTATGTATTACAATTGTTCCACTGATGTTCTGGTCTTGCTTCATTGTAAAGTTGTAAACATTGCAAGGTACATACATTGTTCTCTGAAGCAGTGTCAATGTGTTTTTTGTTTTTATCATGGGCTTTTTATGGAGACTGCATATAACAGTGCTGCATTATACATCCAGAAACTTGCCATTAATTGTTGTGTAACTTTTCCCAGCGGTACACGTTACTCTAATTTGCTTTCCAGTTTTGTATCTTCTAATTGATTCATCTGGGTTGATTGGTACGAAAATACTTTTTCATTTTGTTCCACTTGTAATATAAAAGTATTGAACAAATAAATTAAAAGATAAATTATAACAAAACCGTTCTGGTCTTCATTTCTGTTTTGTTTTCTCCATTGACTTTACTTTGGCTGGATATGTTTTGGCCGTAGCTGGTCCAAAGAGTCAAAGTATAGACATTTTTTTTCAGATGGCTCTGAGGATCCACATGAAATGATCACAATCGCATGATTCGTGATGACATTTCATTATTACCTTTTCTTTAATACCTTCATAGTATATTTTATATCTTACAAAAGTGTCTGTAGATATCTGGATAAAATATGGATACATCTGGATTGGTCACAGAAGCTACCACTGTAGTCACCAGGACAGAATCTCTTTAATAAGAGACACAGACAGGCCATTTTTAATAGATGTGGGAGTGGTTGGAACCCTAGTCCATTTTGTATTGCTGTGTTTTTGTTGGAGATGTACGCATTTCTTCTGTGCTTTTTTGGGACAGGGGGAAACAATAAAAATTCCGACCAATGTTCTGACTCTTCCCCATATAACATAATATAATTCTTCAATAAATTATGTATAAAAGAAAGAAATGTCTGATCTCCACTCACCTCCTGTTCCCGTGGCTCAAAAATTTGGTATTTTCTTGCACTTGTGGTAGCAGAGGAAACGGGATAAAGTAAAAATATTGACACTTTGGGCCCAATTCTGGACATCTTCACTTAGGGGTGTACTCACTTTTGTTGCCAGCGGTTTAGACATTATATGAGCCTTCCCAACCCACTTCAAAAACATCCAAACATTTTAAAAAAAATTATATGCATAGACTTTATCCAGTTTCCTCTGCTACCACAGAAAGTGCAAGAAAATCCCAAATTTTTGAGCCACGGGAACAGAGGTGAGGGGAGATCTCCCAATGCTGCTTTGGTTACAACAGTTTTATAAATGTGGATTTCTTCTCACTTCATGTTACAGCTCTGAGACAAAAATTGAAGGGAAATCTGAATGGGACACAGCAGAAAATAACTGGGGGTTTAACCTACTCCTTACTATGTCTCAAACTGTAAAAAGTGGCTATGCATACATTTTATTTCACTACATTTAATAAATAATGATCATTATGGGAAATAACACATGTGCTATAGCTTAGTTAATGGAGCCTATCATTTTATCAGCATGAGGTCAAGCAGTTGGCAAAGCAGGATGTCAGACTTCATTTGACCTCTCACCTCTAAATCTCAGGCATACAATTATGTTTAGATGGAGTAAGCTGAAGAAATGGGAAAATAGAAAAGTTTGCAGATATATGACCGTTTAATACTAAAAATGTAGATTCTTGTATAAACACATTTGTGACTTTTTGTTTTAAAAAGCTGATTGCATTTACATAAATCAGCAAAAGTGAATAAATACTATAGCTCTCCAATTGGCCACAGGCATGCGATGGGAACTTGAGAGTGCTCCATCTCTTTGTCCCCGCACACAGTGTTTCTTTTTCTTTACAGCACCTGTTTACTCTACAAAGAGGGCACTGCATTAGTACTAATCAGACCAGGACTTTTGGTCACTGTGCTGTCCTTCCTTTCCTTATCTGTATGCCCCATAATTGGTCACATGACACTGTATTGCAACACCCAGTTTGTGGGGCAAACTGGATGCTGTACAGAAAAATCAAGTGTGTGCAGGTACTGGGAAGGTGGTTTCATGTCATATATACATATATTCATGTCATATATACAATGCATGCTTATGATCAATGTCCCTAGGCACACCTAAATGATGACGGCCTTTTGTACAACCCCCAACCCTTAATTAACATATTTTACCAAAAACATTACTGGCATAATGTGCTAATAAAGGAAGCA